CTTTGCCTGATTTTGTGTAGGGGTTTACTGAAACCCACGCGACCTACTGAAAATGTTCCACGGAGCCCTCCCGACGCTTCCTAAAATGTATGCCGGGGTGAAAATATTTAAAATGCCTTCAAACTTGTATGGGCTGATTCCCGGCGCCACTTCAACATTCCGTCTCACACCGCTAGGAAGTTGCAGAGAGCCCAGAAATCCTTCGAGGTAGGAATGCGGTCTGCGTTATTATTCCATCCAGGTTGTGTTCGAGCTTCTACATCCCATAGAATCGACCGAATGTCATTGTTGCCCTGGCCTTATGGCTGCGCGGTCGGATATCAACGGTGTAAGCAACGATAATATTTACATCTAAGCTGCTAAATTATTGTTCGAATTTGTGGCAGCGTGGTCATGCCGTTGGGCAGGGCTTTTAAGACAGCGCATCTCCATTATTGTGCTTCCGCCCCTTATCATGTTCTGATGTAAACTTACACTCTTGGAGACAATGGATCCGACGGGTCATTTGTCTTTCCAGGTTCTTGAATAAAAGCAACGAAATCAGGGCAGAATGTTATACAAACCGGTGGAATTAATTTCCACAGAGCCATTTCTAGAAGTGTTCGAATATTTTCAAAATTGCCAATAAATCCCGTTGGGTCAAGCATTAGCTACTCTCAGCCTTGAATACGATCCTGCTGCATAAGTTATTACACGCTGGTTGCCCACTTATGCTTGTGAGAGTACACATATGGTATCCAGGTTGTTCGCGTACGTGTAGACGATGAGCTTCTCACCTGGCTGGGTATAGTAAACGACATTTTTGGGGGCATGATGACAACTTCTGCTTTTGGAAGCCAATGTAAAGTCCTATCTCTTTTCATGAGCTTGGCCGATGGTTTGGCGATGTCTGCGAATCTACGTATAAACTTCTGGCAGTAGACACATTAACCAGTGAAGCTCCTCAGCTCATGAATGCCTTTCGGTGGTGGCCACTCTTGCTGATCCTTCAGTTCCTCCATGTCCGTGTTCATTCCCATCGGTGGTACGTTATGTGAAAGTTCCGTATCTCCTTCTGGAATAGTTGGCACTCTTTAGGGTTACGTCTGAGATTGGATCCTTGGGAAGTTGTCTAGTAGCTGCAGGAACATCTGGCTGACAATGATAACAGGCTTCGAAACTAAGGTCACGGTAGACAGTTGTCTGAAGGGGATCATCAAGCCGCGATTTCATCGCCCTGTCATATCGAGCCCGTATCACATTGTCGGGGTCGGGGTCTGGGAAAATATGTATACTGACACACACCATCTTCGCAACAGTCGCAGTATTTCGCGCTTCAAATTTATTGCCATATTGCGGACTGGCAGGAAGTCCAGCCCAAGAAGAATTCGTCTCTGATTTTTGCGACGAACATCCATCTCGTTCTGCCTCAATGTTAGCTTCACCAGGTCCAAGATATGTAGTGTCTCTGCTAATGCTGTCTGCGTAACATGTGCCGACTCGAGTATTCTCGGCAGTACTGCGGTGATGTCATGTCCAGCAATTGTAACACGCCACTATTTTCTTGGCCAGATGACGCAACTTGTTCCGATCTCTCTCTTATCCCGAGTCCTTGTCGGCCTCCTCGCAACGTCTCAGTTGGCAGTATTTTCTGACGCGACCGAAGTCTCCACACTGCCAGCATAGTGTCATTCACTACGGGGGCGTTTTGTGGATGGTAACAGTGTTCTCATGGAAGCTCCAGTCCTTACCCTCCACAGCTTCGCTGATGACCTGCCTGCCGCATTCGCAGTCTCTAGTCTCACCGTCCATGACAAGGAGCTGTTTAATTTCCCAGCCCTCCATTCCATGACAGAATGCTTCCCTCTGGATCACGTCCTCAAGGAACCTGATGAGTACCTGGTGTTCCATCGGTTCAACAACCGCTGTGAATACTTGTAGCACTCGTCTTTCACCTTGGTTATAGTTGGTTATCCGTTGACCTCACTGGCGGTTCTCCAGCGCCCCAACAATATCATTGGATGTCGCTACGCGCCATATATCTATGCGCAGTTTGGTGACTTTCCATCACAGTTGCAAATTTCTCTACTCTGCATGTCCAATTTACTCTTTTTTTATGTAAATCACTCTCAGTCTGCCAAAGTGTACATATATTCACGTAAATTTCAATAAGCCCAGCCCAGAACTCTCTTGTGATAGAGCTAGTCCCTATATTTATCGACTGGGCCCAACTGAGTAGGTTTTACCTGAACACGGAGACAAAATCCATTCTCAGAAATGTTGTTTTGAAATATAAACAGAGCGATGAATAACGTCCAGAAATACAATATTTGTGCTAATGTACCATCTTCACAGACTTTTAGATCTTATTCATCTAATTTTGTGCCTAAAAGTGACAACGCAAATGCTATTTACACCCAGATGAAACATATTAAGATAAAATACATACTCATTCATTCATCAGTAATCTGTCAGACGACAGGTCCACAGTCTCTTCCGAAACAGTTCCTCCACCTAATGCGATCTAGAGCTTTCTCCTTCAAATGGGAATAAGAATATCCTCTTCTTTTCCCAAAGTCATCCCGCATCTTCTTACTTCTTCTCCCTCGTCTTCTGGTTCGCATACATGGTGTCTCTGTTTTTGGAAAGAGACTATCCAGGAAAAGTTAATGTGGTAGTTTTTTCATTTGCTTTCCACATCGCAGTACAACAGCCGTTCAAACCACTCTGGTCACGCCTGTTGCTATACGAACTTGAACCATCTTGAGCATCATTTGCTCTGTGCTTCAAGTCGCTGCTGATGACGCTGCTTCTGGCATCAGTTTTTGGTTTCTGGGGTCTCTCTCCATCTGATGCCTACCCTTTGACCTGTTCAGCAAGGGAGGCCTTGCCAGTACCTACGCTACTGCTGGTATAGCTCTCAGGGTCCTTGGCATACTCAAACATCCTCACCATGATAAGGTGGAGACACCAACAAGGGGGACATACTCATATAATGTATAAAATTCACGAACTGTGTAACATTAAATTACTCTGTTACTGTAGACCATGATGAATAATACAATTTTTAGATCAGTGTACATAAAACCATCATAAACCACATCAATCATACAGGGGATGGACAAAAATATGGAAACACCCAACAAAAAACACATTACCGTGACTAATATCGAGTAGGACAACCTCTAGCTTGCAGTCTCCTTGGAATGGATAAATAGAGGTCCTGTATGATTTGCAAGGGAGTCTTGTACCATTCTTCCAGCAAAACATTTTCAAGTTCTGTTAATGATGATGGAGGTGGATAGCGTGCACGCAGATTGCTCTCCAAAACAGACCACAAAGGCTCAATAATATTGATATCTGGCGATTGTGGGGGCCATGGCAGATGTGACACTTCATCTTCATGCTCACAAAACCAGTCCTGGACGATGTGAACTGTGTGAACACGGGCACTGCCATCTAAGTAAATTGCATTACCTCTGGGGAACAAAGTTTGCACCATGGGATGGACCTGGTTGCCCAAAATGGTCACACAGTCGTTGGAAGTGACATGACCTTGCAGGGTAATGATGGATCCGACAGAATACCACGATATGGCTGCCCATACCATGATCGAACCTCTGCCATGTTTCACTCTTGGCAGGAAACAATCTAGATTGTAAGCTTGGGATGGCGTTAGCCAGACGTAAACTCGGCCAGAAGTCGGAAACAGTGTGAAGGTGGACTCATCCGACCAAATGACCGTCTTCCATTGCTCCAAAGTCCAGGTTTTATGACTTGGGCACCACACTCATCTCTTAGTGGCATTTTGATTACTGATGAGTGGCTTTGGAATTGCAGTTTGTCCAGAAATACCCTGCTTGTGGAGTTCCCTTCATACTGTTTTGGTGCTGACAGGGTTTGTCAGTATGACATTCAGTTCAGCAGTCACTTTTGCAGCTGTAGAATTCTTATTTTTTTGTCACAATCCTACACAATGTTCATCTGTCTCGATCACTCAATATAAATTTCCGTCGACCCTGGTGTTTATCGGATGCGGCTTTTCCAGTCCTCCTGTATGCGGTCATAATCTTGGATACTGTGCCTCGTGAAACACAAAAACCTCCCTATCTTGGTTACGGAAGCACCCACCATATGGGCCCCAACAATTTGCCTACATTCGAATTCTGTTGGCTCTGACATGATGTACTAAAAATTGTACAGAACACTGTCTCGACAACAAATGACGCTTGCAACGTATTGCAAGGTTGTACAGGTAGTGCTATTGGGCAGATATGACATCGTCACCTACAAACGTCGCTAAAATAAACACTTCAATTCAGGCATACCTTTCACGAGGTGTTTCCATATTTTTGTCCATCCCCTGTATATTNTATATTTATAGTTTTTAGGTCATAAAAATCCGGGCCCTATTGATCACTTACATACTTTAGCCACAATAGCCATCTTCAGGCACTCTATACATTCAGTATTATGTTTCTACTAAAGCTGTACATTGGACCACCTTTAAATTGCCAACTTTTTTGTGCTAACCTGAGTTCTGAGTGTATGATAAAAATGGGGTATAGGGCATTTGTTAAATGTGATATAAATATATATTGTAAAAGACAATGTACTGAAAAAGAAAGGTAACATAAACTGCAAATTAAAAAGTTACCATTGATTGAAATCGCTGTATGTTGCATGATGGATGTTGTGTTCAGTGTAAAATTTGTAGTATACTACGTGGCATACAACGCATACACATGTTGTATTTCAGTGATGTACTGTACCATGGCTTCTGTTGTGGTTCCCATCTGTTGTGCATGCGCTTTCTCTGTACTGCAGAGATCTGGTAGTTTTATCTAGGCCATAGACATGCATTTATTATCTGTTATGCTATGGATGGTGGTGGTGTTGAATTTTTTTTTTTCAGATTGACATGGTGGGTGCTGTAATGTTATGTTTTACCTATTTTACTGCATCTTTTCCCCAATTTACATAATTTTTCCAATATATCTTACATATAAAATGAAACTGAATAATCAAATAGAACACTTTATTTTTAAAGTTACATTTTATGAAACACGATAAAAATTACTGAGATGTCTGCATTAATTTATTTTCCCACTAAGAGGAACATTGCCTCTTATGGGCTTGGGATATTTCTTTCTTTGGAGCAGCTGACAATCCTGCTGCAGATTCTTTGAGTCGCCACAGAACATACACGCCTGCTTCTAAGCCACCAATGTTTATCTTCAATTTCTTTGTAAGTTTCCAAAGACCAGCAGTAAACATGAGTGCCTAAAATAAAAATGAAACCATAAATTTCTCATATATTCATATGATATTCTGAGACTGAGAAGAGATAATATGCCCAGGCTTGATTCAGATGGCTCAGTAATTTCTTAAAACTTAAAAGTGATATGAACTCCCCTGTAATTTCTGCAATTAGAGTTACCAAGGACATTATAAATTCCCTCCCTCCAAAATTAGAATATTATTCGTTGACATCACAGAAAATTTCCTATGAACAGTTTCATTCTTCTCTCTGGCCCACATGACATCATTAGAACCCTGGAAAGAAGACTACATAGGGCACCCATACACATTTATACACATAAAATTTTATAGACATTCTCAAAAGTGGATACAACACAAAGTATAAGTATATCAACAAATTTATACTGCTAAGTTCATGCAGATCAATGCTGCACTGTTCAAAGAGCATGTTTCCATCTTGTGTGAACACACTCCAGTAACCAGTTCCAAGCACAAATAAGACTCTGTAAACGCAGACAAAAAGAAGTTAAACCCTACAAACTGAATATGAATTATGGAATTTTGTTACATTCAGACCTTGGGAGTCTTCTATATGTTATACTGAAGCTGCTACTACCAGAAATTAATTTTCAACCTTTCATTTCTGATATAGGTAATACTTGTGGGTACATATATAACTGTCTGAGTGGTGTTATTCTTACATGATATGCTTCCATTTGCAACGTATTAGCCTTCTTGGCCTCTGCTTGCCAAGTAAGTCAAGCAATCCACTTCTGACATGGGAGATTTCATTAAAACCCACAGATCAAGACATACATTTACGTTATCAACAGCAATGGACATATGAGGCTCTCCTCTGTCTTTAATGAAGTAACGAGAAGTACCAAATAAAACACCTGCTTCTGTGTTAATACAAAGCCTTTTCAAAATTTGATAAATATGCACGGCCTGGAACATTAAATTTGCGGACATAACTAATAATATAAAACAAATCGCTAATTTCAACTTACTGCAGTCATACTTCTTTTGTCATGTGTTAGAAGAATGGCTTGCCCAGTTTTACAACGTACAACTCTAGCAAGTTCCAGAAGTACTTGTTTGTACAATGTTCGATTGTCAAACACTGATCCGCTGCGTTTCCCAAATGGCTGAAAGAATTCAATTTAATTATTTTACTTTACATTCACTTATTCATGAAGAGGAATTTGATCCAGTAAAACCAATAGTCATTCCATTCCAAGGTGCAGGATCTTTTCTTCCCCACATCTGAAAGTAGAACTGCAGATTCCTAATTCTACTCATGCATGTATAATGTCTAAAATGCTACTATTGTACTTTCAAATAGAATATTTGGAATCCAGCATGTAACTAGATGACACAAAGTATGCGTTACATCAATTAAAACAAATTCAAACGAAAAATAACATTTTATTTTAAAATTTAAACTTAACATTTTTAACCTAGAGCCATTTACATATCCACCTTACCCTGTGCTGGTGGTTTTAAACGAATTAAGGAAAAACTAGTACCTCTGTTTACTGTTTGTTTTAAAATATACATAAAAGTGAAAATTTCACACTTACATGCTCATGCCTTTGTGCAGAAAAATATTTCTATTTACATTTTTGTGACAGTTTTACTGCTTCAAATTTTTACGTTTTCCACAGTTCTCATTAGTACACACCAAATATTTACTCACAATTATTTGTTCAACAATCTAATGACTGAAGTTTCTCACTTTCATATATCCAAGTGTTGCAGCAATATCTTCTATGAAATACTAGTTCCAATAATCTCATTTAGTATAACAAATTTCACAGCAGTCCCAGTAGCCTTCTCTTCCTGAGGAGTGATTCCCTGAGTTCTCTCTTCACATTCATTGTGATTTTGTATTTCACTGGCACCCAGATCTGAATAATTTAGAATTCTGTCACCTTGGCATTTGTCATAAATTCAGACTGTGTAATTTTCACTTTACTTGTACACATATGGATCTGATTACAAATGCTAATTGCTTTTGGGTTTATCCACTTTGCTTGGGCTACCATAAGAGATCAACTGAAAACCAAATACTTTCATGTGAACTTTTCAGCATATGGCCATAATGTGTTGATCTCTGATATGTATAAAAGAGAGTCATATAAACAACAGGTACAGTATGATAACAAGCTAACATGTGCAACAGATTAATATGAAAGAGCTACCAAGCCATGCGAAACAGTGCAGCATTGCAATGCTATAAGGTAGGGAGAGGCCTCTAATGAAAGTAAATATAACTAGATGCTCTAAAAACAGTAGAAGATTCATGTCTCCATTCATCAGTTTACCTAATGAAAGTCACATCGAATCACCGCACAGTGTAGAACACACGTAAACACCGAATGTGTATATGGCCAGACAAGAAACATACGCCACATTGCACGTTTCATACATGATACATAGCGTGGGATTACCATACAAAATACCCACATACTACCAACTTGCACATCATTGAAAAACGTGTCTTTGGGCCTCATATACCGGGCTTATTATGTAGACTTACAATTAAGTTTATTTCAGTCCAATGTGACATATAATGCTTCCACCACTTTAGCACTCAGTTACCCAACATGTTTCGATTCATTATGATTCATTATGTTGCGTGGGCCTTGTTGCCGAAATTCTACATAATAAATTTTAATTTGTTTCATTCTGGTCCGTCACACTAACAGGTTTACAATTAAGTTTATTTCAGTCCAATGTGACATATAATGCTTCCACCACTTTAGCACTCAGTTACCCAACATGTTTCGATTCATAATGAATCATTATGAAGTAACAGGTGAAACTGAGTGCACTACAAGATGGCCACTGTATACATATCATGGATAAAATATGTTAGTTGGCATACAGACCCCTAACCCACCTACATATATATTTTTAATACCTTTTAATATACTTTATATACTTCTAACATACTTTTAATATTTCTTAATAATATTTCAACATTTTATATATAGTATATATATTGTAACGTGTCTTGTGTTACTGAATATGCCGTAGAGATGGTTAATTGGTTTATTTAACAATCTACAAACAACGGCTACAATTAATTATCACAATATTACGGGTTTCCACACTTTACAAACCCTACAACAAAATCTCTTAACACTGTCTTCAAGAGTCTTCACGTATTAATAACGCGGGAGCTATACAAGTCTCCCTGAATTACACACTTTCACTCATAACACGCCGCTGGCTAGATTCCAACTCTGCTCGCAAGATGCTGCCTGGAGAACTGAGAACTCGTTGGTAACGCACTGACTGACTGACTGACTGACTGACTGTGAATAGCCTTCGCTGCTCCTTATGTAGCCTTGATCGGACAATTGTCGTCTGATGCCGTGTTGCTAGCCACGCTGTCCGGAGTTGTTGACTGCTGCCTAGCAACCGCGATATCCCTCGGTGACATCACCGCTGTTGATTCGCTTTGCATAGCTTCAAGGTCGCGGGGACTCGGCTAACGTCGGCTNCCGCGCATTGCGCGTTGCATAGCTACCAGGATGCGGGGTGATTACTCGCCTATTACGCGAGCGCTACGTTCACGCTACGTGCCGCTGGGGGGGTAGGGGTCAACATGTCACAATATATATAGTATAGTTTTATGTTAACCTTTATCGGACGAACGTCATCATATGATGTCGTTAAAAGTTAGGGCAGCTGGCCGAACGTCATCATATGATGTCGCGGATTCCACGCGTGTAAGGTTTTTTTTAATATTTTATAAAAAAATTAAAT